ATGGATCCTCTGTAACATACTGAGAATATTGATATTAATATTAAGCCTGACCTATATGTCCAATATTAATATATTAACATATAAATTATTATTGCTGATAACGGATTATCTATGATAAACATTTTTTCCTAGTTATATTAATACTAATACTAATACTAAGTCAAATGGTCTGTTATAGAGTGAACTATATATATAAAAAAAAGAATTTTTTATTATTGTAAATGCAATTAAGATTCAATAATAATAAAACTATTACTATTACTATTTTCTCTTGTTAAAAATGAACATTACGCATAAAAAAAAACAAAATTTTCTATATAAAAATTTCCAACAATCCACAAGTGCTAAAGAGTAAACTTTTTTCATTGGTAAAATAAAATATATTAATATGTTTTCTGAGTTATGTTTTATCTGCATGCTAAAAAAAATTTATGTAGTGGAACAATTTTTCATGCAAAGGTACTCAATTGGTCATTTTTGTGTCAATTATCCTCTGCTGATCACTATGTAAGACTCTTCGATTTATTCGCAGATCGTCAATTAACGAACATATTACATTAAAAGAAAATCGTTACCAAATTTGGTCGTGAGATTCAAAATATTGTAACGCGAAAATTATTGTTGCACTTGTTACTGGAATTAGATTTGGATGCTCTTTTGGCCGAATTTGACTAATTCCGAAATTCTTAATTTTTATTATTATATTTTATTTATTTCTATTTTTATCACCTTATTTTATTAATTTAATATTATTTTATCCCGTATTACATCTATTTTCGTAATACGTTTTATTTTTATTTTCATATTATTTTATTTTTATTATTTTTAATTATTTGTATAACATCGTAATTTATTTAACTTATTTAAGAAAGTATTGTCTTGGGATATCCTCCCAATATTGGGAAATCGTCGCAATATTGGGATATCCTCACAATTTTGGGAAATTAGAATTTATAATTAATTGAACTGTATATAAAGAACTCAATTTCGACCTAATGTAAAAGTAACTTGTAAATAAATTAATTAGTTTCAACTAAGAAAACTAAATAAATAAAATAATAAATATTTTATTTTATTTAAAACTTTTATCTTCTTTAAACAAAATTATTCGCTAATCCAAATCAATTCGTTGATAACCTATTCATTCTGATCCACATAAAACAAAAATAATTGTTATCACCAATTAAAAATACGCTCTCCCAAAGTTTAATCGGTGACAATATTTAAGTTAAGATTTCAGGTGGTAAAATTATTCTTAATAAAATTAGAATTTACTGCAGATTTGAATCTCATCTGGGGACGATTTTATATTGAAATTTACTAATTTTATCATAACTTGTTAGATAATTAAAAAAAAATTTTTTATCTTATAAAAGGTTACTATTTTCCCCGCCGATCACCATATAAAGTAAGCAAGTATTTTCAGTCTTGATTTAGAAATGATTCTCTAAAATTTCAATATATATAGATTTTCAAAAAAAAAAAAAAAAAAAAAAATGCAACGTTCACGTTTTACCACAGATGCACCAATAACCTCTGCATCATCAACTTCAAATTCGTCAATTGGCAGCACTACTACAACTACAGCATCATTAAATGCCTATTTTTCAAATGTAGAGGAAGAATTAAATAAAAAACTTGATAATGAAATTGACCAATTTGTTGTTTCGTTTCGTGATATTGTAAAAGGTTCAGGTATCCGTGAATCTATTAGAGTACCTGGTAGAGATACTGACAAAGTATGTTTTCTTTCTTTCTTTTCTTATTTTAAAAGGTATCTATATATATCAGTATGATTAAAAAGGGGGGAGCTTTGTTTGGAAAATAACAAATTATAGGTTGTAATTATATGAGTTCTTTCATTTTAGTCAGTTGAAAAAGATAAATATAAAAATGCATTGGATGGACTGGTAGATGAATTACGTGCAGCAAACATGGTAAAAATCAAATTAAATCAAGTTCATTATTACCATTAGAAATTACTTATTATTGTCATAATTAGGTTCGATGTTGTGAAAGTCTATTGAGTTTGACACAAAAGATAAATATAAAAATGCATTGGATGGACTGGTAGATGAATTACGTGCAGCAAACATGGTAAAAATCAAATTAAATCAAGTTCATTATTACCATTAGAAATTACTTATTATTGTCATAATTAGGTTCGATGTTGTGAAAGTCTATTGAGTTTGACACATGATTTAAAAACAACACTTTTATTAAATGATACTCAAACTTTATTAAAATTGCAAGAAAATCGTAAAAATGATTTACTTTCTCGAACTCAAAAGATAAAAAACAAAGTACTGCAGCTTAATGAAGCTGTCACACAAGCAATTTGGGAAATGGAAAGTGTATTAGGAGGAGAAGGTAGCAGCAATCAACAACTTGATCCAAGTAAAATGTAGCTATAAATTTTTTTATAATTAAAATTAGAAGATTTTGTGATACAAATAAACCATTTTATTTAAAGGTTTTGTAAATTATATTGATAATTGATAGATGATTCATCCAAAGAAATACTTTCAATAACATACATCTTTTTTTTATAATCTCATACTTCATAAATTGATGGTAATTGACTTTGTCTATCTAATTTTTCTTGTTCCAGTGAAAGCACATGATTACTTTGCCTCCATAACTTCTAGTAACTTTTATACAAGTGAATTCTAGAACTTTACTTTCCTTCTAACAACAATCTTTTCTTCTTCTTCATCACCTTACCTTGTATCTGTATACATAAATAATTAATGATTTACAAAAAACCATATATTTAAGGTATGCAAAAACAGTAATAATATATGCATTTCAGCTTCACACCATTGATCATTTTTTTAATTTTATGTTTCATTATACTCATTGCAGCAGAAGTGTTCATTTTCTTTTTGTATTGATTCATTTAAAACTCTTCAAGTTGGATAATTCTTTTCATGCAAAGTTTTAGTACTTGTTTATTTGGTTGTTGTTTCGATATAATTTATCAATTAAAGAATTTTAAGATCTATAATAATAATAATAATATATTGTTAGTAACAATTCCATTTGGAATCACAATCCAATCATTAATTTTCTCAGCATTTTTAATATTCTTTACATCTTGATTCACATCCTCTTCTTCACTTTGGAAGAAAATGCACTGCTAATCAAGAAGTGATTTTATTAGCTAGAGCAGTGGGGTTTCTTTCCCTCCTTTTTCATCAAACCAATTTCATTATCAGTGTAAGTATCATCATCCTTCCAATTCACTCACTATCCGAGGCTTCTCTGAGAGAGTTGCCTTTTTGTTTACAAAAAAAAATTTAAGTACAAGTATTCCACCAAATCAATATTTATATCTTGAAATTTAAATGAAAAATCAATAGAGATGGTAATTGTATTTATGTTTGGTATGCTTGGCATATTTTCATGATTATTTTAACAAGATTTTTTAATATTAGAGTTGAAGGATCATCATATGCATTGTTTTCAGCATATGGAAGGATTCTTGATATTGTTGCATTAAAAAACAATTAAAATGGGTGGGCAAGCATTTATTGTATTTAGATAAATGCAAAGCACAACAGCAGCTATGAGAGGACTTAATGGGTTCAATTTCTATGATAAACGAATAGTAAATTTTCCAATAAAAATCATCAATTTTTTTATTATGATTTTTGAAAAAGTTGATAAGAAATATAACCTTTGTTCTTCTTTTGTATAGTTATATTTAAATATATTTTTCTATTTAAATTAATCTTTCTTTAATTAATATAATCCAATAAAAAACTTAGTGTTTATTTCTTATAGCTGAGGTTATAATTAAAATTAATGAAATCAATAAAATGAAGCTGATCTAACAATTCTTTATTTTTTAATTAATTCCTGTCAACTTATCATCATTCTTTATTTATTTTTTAATTTTCACAATGATAATTTTCCAATTTCTTATAATTAAATAGCATATAGAATATGCAAAATGCTATTGTAAAGCTTGATAAAACATGGAAAAAGCCAGTAACTATTGCTTCTACTCAAACAGTAACAGGCCAATTAGGTGTATTACCTGCACAAAAAAAGACAATGTGAAGAAGAAGGTACTTAATCATAACCATAATCACATTAATATTAATATTGATGATGATGATGATGATGATGATTTATTTAATATATATATTAGGAGTGTTTGACAATAAGAGGGCAGCAAATTGTGAAGCTTTCAAAGAAAGTGAATTTGATTCACTGGAAGTTATATAGTAATTAATTATATTGTAAAAATCATTAAATTTGGTCCTTCACAAAAAAACCAACTTTATTAATCAATTAATTAAAAAATTGATTTGCTAAAAATGGAAAAAAGAATAATAATCACCAAGACCTGAAACACAACAATCTGAAATTGAGTCACCTAATAGAATTTTATACATACAAAATTTACCATCAGATGTCACTGATGAAATGTTAAGTTTCTTATTTCAACAGTATGTATTACATTTGTCAATATCAAATTATTATCACATATGGAGCTAAGAATTTAATCATAATAATATTATTGTTATCAGATATCCTGGTTTCAAAGAAGTTTGCCTTGTACCTGGAAAATCAGATATTGCATTTGTAGAATATGAAGCAGATCATAAAGCAACAGTGGCTAAAGATGTGTTAAATAGATTCAAGATTACACATGATAAAGAAATGAAGGTTATATTTGCAAGAAGATGATCAAATATTATATAAATATAAGCATGTTGCAGTATACAGATTTTTAACAATTCCAAAAAATTTTTATCAGAGGTTTTAGAAAATTCTACAAAACTAATAAAATACTAATTCATATATTTGTATTAATTAATTTTCCAATTGAATTGAATTGATTAGATGATAAATAAATTTTATATTATATATAATTAGTGCTTGAAAAATAATAATGTATAGTGAGTGATCCTCCAATCATACATAATTTTTACTGTCATGGTCAACCAATCAAATGGCTATATCCAAATTGCAAGTGGTTTCTTGAAAGGTGAACTAAAAATGATTACTACTAAGGGTTAAAGGTTGGTAGTTGATTTTTCTTGTTAGAAGCTTGTTTTAATTTTTTTATTCATCAATATCATGCAGTGGATTGCATTATTATTACTACTAGAAATGTTGATTTTCAAAGTCTATGAGAACATGAACAAATTGGCTAAATGAAGGATTAGTGATTTGAATATTCAAAATTTCTGGCAAGTATAGTGCGATCATCTATTATACATAAATTTTTAGTCGTGTAACAGAAGTACAGTCCGGATTCTTTCCAAATTTAGGTATAGAAATTTGCGCCTCTTTGTCGATCAATTCATATATTTTTCATATACTTAGTGCTTGTTGAAAAAAAATTTTTTTTAAAAAAATTACTATGGTTGGCTCGGTCTAAAGACCTCCTATTGCTGCGCCGCGCGCTTTCAAATTTCAAAAATTGCAATTTCGTGATTCGTTCAAAAATGCAATAAATTTTTTTAAAAAAGGGTTACACGTGATTTTGGTTAAAAAACTATTTTCCTTACTGCCAAATTTAGATATGATGGTCGAGTATTAGGCTAAATTTAGGAATGATGATCAAATACTAGTCTAAATTTAGCAATGATCCTAGCGCTCAAATTTTTCATGAGCATAGTAAAGTACATGTTTTAAAAAAGAATAGAACTCTACAATAAATAATTTTTTGGAGAAAATCTCTTCATTACATTAAAAGTAGAAACCTATTTTACAATTAATGAGGCTATTTTTTTAAAAGGTAGGGCAGAAAATGACTTCTATACTTTTAAAATTTGCCCAAAATTTAGGAGGTCTTTAGACCGAGCCAACTATATTACTATTACCTATAATGATCGACAGAAAAAATGGCCATCAAAGATATTAATATTAACGTTTTAATTTCGGAAGCTATTAATGTCAATCAAATATAAAAGTTTTAGATGCATGTGCGGGGTCATATAAAATGGTACTTTCTAGAAAGATCTTCCTTAACAACAATAATAATATTTCTTAAATAACGATATGCCTAAAATATTTATGATCTTGACCAGTAGTAGCCTTAGGTAATTAATTGTTTTTTTTTTTTTTTAAAAAAAAACAAGTTTATAAATTTATTTATAAAAAGATTCCAGAAAATATCAATAAATTAATATGTGTGTGTGAGTTTTTATGTGCTTATTGTATGATCATAATCAATTGTAGGAACCACAGAAGACATGAATTTCAAGAAAATAATAAGATATCTAAAAATTAAATAATAAGTATGAATTAAAATCTTAAATCTTATATTATTATATAACTTTAGTAATATAAACTCATTCAAAATTTACGTATACTTACTGATCAACGCGAACTTGTCCCTGTTCTGCTTGAGGCGTATTTGACCCTGTAGCATTTCCATATTGTTGTTGAAACATTTCAAATTTTTTAATACTTTCCTCGTTCATTTTTTCTATAATTTTTTTCATAACGGGTGCATGACGACATGGATGAATACTAGCCAACGACATATTTAAATGTGGATGCGTCTCAATTGTAACTGTTTTCTTTGCATAATCTTGTGAAATATCTTCAAATATTTGTGCTGATGTCAAATGTCGACGTTCCTAAATAATAATGAGCGAGCGAACCAATCATTAAAAATATAAATATATATATGTATATTTTTAATGATTAAGAAATAGTTTGAGTTATTAATTACCTCGTCGTATCCAAATAACCACATTCGTGGTGTCTGATAATATTTATCATAGGTGATGAATAAATCATATGTTCGAACCTGAAGAATTTTATCACTATATCAAAAAAATATAATTTCTAAAATATAAATATATTTCAGTTTTTGTTTAATTTATTTATTTTAAAAGCAAACCTTGGGCTATCTTCATATGATGAATTTCTGGTATTGTTTGATGGTGATAATGTAGACTAATAATAATAAATAATTTAATCAATATCATTTGCTTTTTCTTTTTTACTGTTTGACAAGAAATTTTTTAAAAGTAAAATTAATTTCACCAGATCTTCTTCTTCAACAACTTCTCCTTCTTCTATATCATCATCGATATCTGGAATTTCATCAATATCTGGAATATCTTCATCATCTTTATCATTAGTTTCTTCCAAAACGACCTTGCTCATTCTTTTAGTGACCTCGTCCTCTTCACCTTCAATTTGTTGAGAAATTTCATCAATGTTTGTTGTTGCTATAATCAAATAATTAAACAGTTATATATGTGTGTGTGTGTGTATTGTCATGGAACAACTAATCTATTAATTAATTATTAATTATTACCACGACCACTATGAGTCGCAACCCAAGCTTCTCCATCTTCAGTCTCAATTTGAGTCTCAGCATCTTCATCAGTATATTCCATTTGTTTGATACGTCTTAAACAAGGAACTATAAATAATAATATTATTATTAATTATAATTATAAGCAGAATATTTTTCCATTTTTAATAATAATAGTAGTAGTTATAGTAGTAGGTTTACCATTTCGTGTAATAAGAAATTGTTTTTCAGCGGGTAAATAGTCTCTTCTTTTACTTACTTCACCATTTTCCCTAAATTCCAATTAATTATAAAAGAAATAAAATCCGCAAATCCAAATTCCAATTGATAAAGAATGAAACAAATATATGTATAAATATATAAATCATTTGTTAATTTCAATCATTAATACAAATATCTGATCTAAATACCAATTCCATGTGGGACATTTATAAACCAAAAAGTCACCTGCAGCTACAAACTATTATTACATATATTTTTTATCCCAAAATTATTATTATAATGATGATAGATATAATATATGAAATTATACATAAATGTTTTACTAACCTCTTCTGGTGTAATGCAACCAGTTTCTTTAAACTTGGAATTCTTGAGTACTGGACTTAAATATTCACGAATGCCAAAGAAAAGTGTTTGAACTGAATTAATATTCATATTTATTTTTCTTGTTGATTGATTTTATTATTATTATTATATGACAGACCGCAAAATTCGGTGCAACATTCAATTTCTATTTCAGGATTAATAGATTTTTTTTAATTTGTTTTTCTTGATAATTTTATCTAAAAAAAAAAGTATGATCATGATGTGATCATGCCGAGAGGGAGGAAAGAAGTCAACATGGCATGTTGATGTTGAGTTGAGATGTTGAAAATTTAATCTTTATTAAACTGGATTTTCGAGGAATTTCTATTTGCCAATGTTCATTTTGTTTTGTGTTTTGTGTAAAAATTGCAGATCAAATAGTCAACTTTCCGTTTTTTTTCTTAACTTGTACTTGATTTCTCTGATATCTTCTTCTTGCTGTGTTGAGATCAACATGAAAAAATCAATATATACTTGTCATCATGAAAAAACAAAAATGCATGTCATTGATAAAACCAAGAACTATTACTTTTTCGATTAATTAATGAGAGAGATCTTAGCAACAATAAACCATTGCTTTTTTGATCAATCAATAAGAAGAACTATTGCTTTTTCGATCAATCAATGAGAAGGATATTACTTTTCGATTGATATTTAATGCTTTGCAAATTTCTTATTTTATCTTTTTGAAAATATAAATTTTTATTTACAATCTTCTTCAGGCTGTAGTTAAAGGCTATTGGTAAATTTATTCCCTTTTAAGCATGTAACATTTTCCTCCTTTACCCATTTTAGCATACAACATGTCAAAAAATTAAAAGCTTTGCCCATAAGACATGTAATTTCATATGTAACCATTGAAAAAATTATCCAATATATTTTTATCTAAAGAACTAAGAAAATCATATTGATATAGTTATTGATGTTATTCACTAATTCTTGATAAACCTGTATCTAAAATAAACCAAAAAATAATAAGCAAGGCTTAGAAAATTTATTTTAAATGGACACGACAAACTTTCTATTGCTTTACCTGATTTGGATATGACTTATAATAAAAATTTTCCAAGATAGTCATTGAAGGTCTTTACCCGGATTATTATAATAATGAAAATTTGGGGAAAATCATGAAATAATAATAAATTTCAAAAGCCCAATAATTATTTGTCAACATTTCAATTTACCTTTTTACAAATAAACAATTGCTACTATATTTACATATCAAATTAGGGATTACTTTATGATCATGACCCGAAGTAATCTTCTTTAATCTCGCAAGTTTCTTTTAAATATTAAAAAAAGTAGTATTTAGAAAAGAAATGGTAATATGCTCAAAAATGATTTGCATTTATCAAAATAAGATTATTCTGCTCTTATATATTCAAAAAAAAATGGTGGTTGCAATGTAATGTATGATAAACAACGTTTGTATATGTTTAACCTTTAAACTTTGTAAAATGGTTAATGCAAAATTAGAAGCACAAAGTAAAAAAACTATTTTGTATTTCGAGTCCAGGTTTTTCTGATAAAGAAGCATGTGGCACATTATGAAGAATAATGTTGAAAAAGGACGCTCTAAAAATGTTGATGAATTGGAGCGATTTATGGTCGAAGAATGACGCTAGTTCGAAACTTTTCATAGACATACGGTGCAGATCATCTATAATCATTAATTGCTTATAGTAACAATTAGTCAACTACAAAATACTAAAACAAAAAAAAATTATATCATTTTAAAAAATTTAACCGATAAGTTTTATTGTTCATGACTCGAGCTTCAAAAGTTA